GCGCCCCGCGCCGCGGCCCGGAAGCCGCCCAAGGCCTCGCGGAGGCCGCCCCCGGCCCGGCGGGACTGGGACGTAAGTTGAAGTATTTCTTTATTTCGAGGCCAGCCGCCATAAGAAAGCGCGGAGTCGGAGAGCAAGCCCCGAAGTGTGTTCAGACTCCTTGAGAGTCACCTGGGTTTTGCACGTGCGCATCAGTGAGCGGCCTTGAAACCTGTATTTGAACGGTTTTACAATTCTTGATCGTAGACTGTACAACGGTTGAAAATTTCGTACAGATATGATCGTTGTCATGCACCTGGCAACACTGACCCCCAGTGCTCACAAAGGGCTGGGACGCAGGCTGCGGAGAGAGGGCACCCGCAGCTTGGGTTTTGGTTTTTTCCCCCCCTTTTGCTTGGTTATTAACATATGCATTTTTTAAGACGGCCCAGCCTGGCAACAGAAAGATGCCAGGTTCCTTAGTTCGCAAGCCACAAAGCTTCTCCTGCTACACCAAATGAGACGTTGTCTGCACTTTGTGTCCCAGGACTCCCCCCACCTCTCCCCCCACTCTGTAACAGCAGCCTTGGTGTGCTGGCAAAACAAGGATTTGTTTGTACAATTTGCACTTGTAATCACCAGCAGGAGAGGTCCCAGCTTCGACGCATGAGCAGACGAAGCTGTAGAAATTCATGGGCCAGTCCAGGATCTGGCTCCCACTCGGTTTCTGTTTCCATTTGCGATCTTGCAATTCTTCTTCCCCAGGATCGAGTGGGAACTATCGAGCACAGGAGTGAGGGGTGCAGCTGCTGAACTTCCTACCCTTTAAATGCTGGTGGCTGCAAGGGGGAGAGGAACGGTGAAGTGGAAAAAACCCTGGTCGTGCCCAGTTCACTCGCCCTTTCAGCATCCACTCTACCCCTGTGGGACAGGCCTATTTGATGTCCTGAAACATGGGCTTAGGCCCATTGCAGAATACTGTAAGCGTCCCTTTGTAAGGGAGGGCACTGGGGACACATGCACTAATTCCAGGGATGAATGAAAAGGAAGGGGAGGGAGGTCATAGGTTAATAACAGGCCTTTTAGTTATGCCACTGGGGAAGAGTATAGGGGTAGACTCACCCAGTAAAATTTAACAGCCTTTGTTTAAGGAGGAGGCTACTGAGGACGTAACAGTTGATTCCTTGGGACAAATAAAAGAAAAAACAGGAAAAGGAGCAAGGGTCATAGGTTTTAAGACAAGTGCACCAACTGGGGACACCATGCAGAGCACACAAAACAGTGCCACTTGCCCCTCAAGTGAGTGCAAAGAGCCTGTGAAACTGCTGGGAGACATGAACAGACGTGAAAACATTCCCACAGTCCTCAGGGTTCCTCCTGGCCAGAGCCTCCTTCCTGGTAAGATATACAGCCAGCTTGGCCAAGGCCAGGGCCAAGAGGAAGTTGACTGGGAGGTCCCAGGACTTGGTGGGGCCATGGATGGAGAGCGCGTAATAAACAGGTGAAGGGAATAGTGCAGCCAGATCCTCAGCAAGAGGATCTGAAGGAGGCAGTGTAGGGACTGCAGCCTGGCACACTTCAGGTAGGCATGCTCTGGGGTCTTCCTTTGATTAATTCGCATTAATCTGATGCATTCTGGGAGGCAAGGGGCATCAGGAGCTATCGAGCATGGGAATAAGGGGCGCAGCCCAGGAATCAAACTTCCCAGCTTTTAGATTCCCATGAATCAAAATTCTTAGCCCGTAAATGCTGCAGGCTGCAAGGGAGAGAGGAACCGTAGTAAAACCCTGGTCGTACCCAATTCACCCTCCTTCCAGCATCCACTCTGCCCCTGTGTGACACAGGGCAAGATGGACCTGTGGTCTGATCCAGTCAATGGCAGTTGTTATGTTCTTATGTTCACTGTCTTACATGATTTATGTTTTGAAATGGGGTGCTTCTTACTTCGCGAAAGCTATGGAGGCTGCCTTGAGTCTCTAGGGAGACCTTGGGTCTAAAAAGCTTGGGAACTTCTAATCTAAAGTAGGGGTGTCAAGTTCATCTGGCAGGCAGCATATGCTGGCCCTGGGGCTCTCTGTGCTTGTGGCACATGGGGCTGGCATGATTGCATGCAACATGTGCCCCGAACTGATCCCCCTGTGCTACATGCATAGTGCAGTGTCAGGTAGAGCACGTGCAGCATATGGGACCAGGAACTGAGCGTGAGGGTCAAGCCAGAGACCCACGGCCAGATCATAAAGCTCCATGGGTTGGATCCAGCCCACAGGCTGTATGTTTGATACCCCTGATGGAAAGGCTTCTAGTGACAGACTGCCATGCAGCTTATTAATACACAATAGCAGTCTTAAATAAACTGATGAGGCTTAGTATTCTTGGAATTGGGATAAAATAAATCTGCTTGAAGTCTGGATACCAAGTTGATCTTTTTTAAAGACCTGCAGACAAATTAAAACACCGGCTGCTATCTTAGAGCAGGTGTGCAGGTGCCATTTTTATTTGGGGTTGCGCTAATGCCTTCATTCTATGTGTCTCTTTTGTTTCCTGCTCCAACCTTTCCAATGTGGTTATTTTGAGACCAAACGTTTTCAGATCTATGATCTCTGCCGCCAATATGCATTTTTGGGAAAGTTTGAAGTAAAGCAATCCCTCTCTCTGAGAAAGTGTAGGGGAGGAGGAAAATACTTTTCCCATTATAAAAAATGCTATAATTTTAATAGCCTTAACACCAAAACAGTTGAAGTTAGGAAGATAATGGCCCTTACTCACTCACACCCTCTTTTTTGTTCCTTTACGCTGAAGTAACCACTAGTTTCCTTTAGTTGGATCAGTATACACAGCATTTGACTGGGGATGATTTACCTTTTCATCATGGCCTATAGGAAATGCATTTTACTAGATCGTAGATGTACAACCTCACGCTGCTTTTTGTTTCTATTGCAGTGTTTATGTTATCAGTGGGCACGTCTAGGCAAGATGCTTACCGCACAGTTGACTAATTGACTGCTCAGTAAACATCTCTGCGCCTACACATGCACCCCTATTAGAGCGCACAAAACTAATAAACTCCACAGCAGGGTAGTCTTGTAAAATACAAGTACTACACCGCTGCCAAGTTTTTTCATGTGCAGCAGCACGTATGTAGACACTGTCCCGGCTGGCTGGGGCACAGGATGCCTCAGTGTGGGGCTAGCCGACAGGCAGCCCTCACTTTGAGGCACACTGCACCCCAGCCAGCTGCTCTGCAGCACATGGAGATGTGAGAATATAAGAACCCACTCTCCGCATGCTGCAGGGGGGGCTGACTGGGGTGCAGCACATGGAGGCAGGGGTAACAGCCAACCCAGGGTTGCTCCATAGTCTCCATGTGCTACAGAATGGCTGCCTGGGGCACAGGCTTCCTCAGCATGGGGGCTATCTGCTGGCTAGCCCTGCACTAAGATAGCCTGCCCCCTTGCAGCACAAGGAGCCCTGCTGGAGCAGCCCTGGGCTGGCAGGCTGACCCCTTGGGTCTCCTGCCAGCCAGGACTTCTCTAACCAGGCTCCGTTCAAATGGCATCTCTGGAATCAAAAAACTCAGGACCAATAAGCTCCAGAGTTTATTTGTGCCCCTTAATTGCACATGTAGACATGCCAGTAAGGTCCCATTTGCTTGGACTTCACAGTCATAACTTGCAGAATCAGCTTCTGTCTCTGGGATCTAAGCATCTGCACTAAAAGAAAGGAAAGAGGTATTTATCCTTCTATAGTGGCTTACATTAGTGGGAAATGAATGCAAAAGATTTTATGATTTTGAAATCTGAGGGTTAGACAAGCTGGGTAATGGTGAATTGGGCCTAGTATGTGTATGCTGCAGAGGACCTTCTAAAAGAGAGCCCAGTGTGACTGATGCTACTTGTATATACTCACATACAGGCAGCCTGAAACAATAGCAGAATGAACTGCCTTTCATTTCATGCTGCATAAACTCTAGATAAAAATTGAAGCCTACCCATGGTAACATCGGTTAACATTTAAAACTTGGTGCTAATCACTGAAGCACTGTTTAGCTGCAGCTTTGTAGTCATTGAATATCCCTGTCCCAAAATACAAAAACAGCCCCCAAGTACAGAATTATACCCTGCCTCACAGCATGCTTCTTTTTCCATGTACCTTTGTCAAGTTTTTGCAAAAGGTTGCAACATAGTTCTTCAATGCACTAGAGCAGGGGTGGGCAAAATGCGGCCCATGGGCTGGATGTGGCCCGCCAGGCCATTCTATCCGGCCCACGAGGCCCCTAAAAATTTAGAAAATTAATATTTAGCTGCCCCTGGCTGCTTGTCATGTGGCCCTCAATGGCTTGCCAAAACTCAGTAAGTGTTCCTCTGCCCAAAATAATTGCCCGCCTCTGCACTAGCGGCTTAAATTGCACTGGGGTTTGCATAGTAACTGTATTATACATGAAAGTACAGGATATAATTCATTTACTTACACTGGTTTCTCCACTTCTCTGAAAATGCTTTAGAATTTCCAACCTGCTGCATCTTTACACCCTGAAAACCCAGGGAGCTTGGATCAAAACATAGGCAAAACTAGTTACAGACTATTTTGGATCTTGCATAGTTAGTGAAGTACATGCTATGAAGCCCTGATTCATTCACTCGCTTATGAATCTCATAAGGCCTCTGTCATTAAAATGCATGAGATTGCGGTGAAAATTATATTGAATTATTTCTTATCATGGAACTTCTATTACCCGCATCGCCATAGATCCTGGGTGCCTTACATCCTTTAAAGCAGGGCTGCCCTGTGAGCCATGTGCACGAAGTTAAACCAGATATTGGCAACTTTTTTGGGCAGAGTGCCAAAAATACCTGCAACCTTGATTTGTAAGATGTTTGTGCGCCAACAGGGGACAGTGGGGGAGCCGTGAAGGGCCCAATCCTTCTTGTGGAAACGCAGCCCCAGCCCCTTCCCCAAGGCATGAGTGCCAAGCAAAATGCCTTTGCGTGCCACGCTCTGACACACATGCCAGGGGTTGCCAACCCCTGAGTTAAACTGTGGCCTACGTGGCTGCTGGAACTGCTCTTTGGCAAGACTCCAAGACCCAGGGGTTTAACCCACTGCTTGCTCCCCTGACCCTTTTACCTGCTGCTGATTTAAGTTACCAGCAAAACTGAAGACCCCAAATCAGCAGCAGGAGAAAAGGAGTGGGAGGAACATTAGTGTCCACTGCCTGAATTCTGAAGCTATACCAGTGCAGTGACAGCTCTGTTTTAATGTCGTGTCTTGCAATACTGCTGTGAGGTAGGGTAATGCTCTTAGTCCAGCTTTACAGTTGAGTAATTGAGGTGTGCAGAAGCTAAGTGATTTGCCTAAATCTGTGGAGGAGCCGGGACTTTAACTCAGGCCTCCCAATTTCTAGATAAATGCCTTACCCACAACTTCTCTTCCCTTTGAGAAGCAATTTGGTCACATAACTAAATAAGATGATGTAATTTTGTATATGCACAAGGAAGCAGAGTGAAGGCTTCAGAAGTTATCTTAATATTGCCATATCCCACCTCTTGAGCGCAAACTTCATTTTTCAATATAATTGTTTTTTTGTTGGAATGCTGTATAGAATTGTAAACTAATCTGTACCAGATTTTCTCTTGCATTTTCTGCTCTGTAAACAAGCAGTTACTTCTAAACCAGCCAAACGCATTATTTTGGTAACTTAAAGAGTAAAACTGTAAAGGATTTTTTTCTTAAGTTTTATGCCTGTGTCCATCTCTGTTCTTATGTTTGATGTGAACCCTTATTTATTCCACAGAGTACTGTCCATGATTTAACAGTGCATCAGGCTACTCCTGAGGACATAGTAAGTTTAAAATCTATACAGTAAACTCTGGTAACCAGCACCTGACAAGCCAGCATGGTCTGTTAACCAGCATGCCAGCTTGTAAGGAAAAGTGAAACCAGAAGTGCCCACCGTGGCTCTTCTGGTTACTCCGAGCCCCCACGGCCTGGGGCAAAGCAGCCTGCGCTGCCAAGCCCCCACGGCCCAGAAGCATAACGGGCTGCGCGGGGCTATGCAGAGCCCGCAGGAGGGGTGGCGATGTGGAGGGACACCCCAGATGTGGCGGGAGAAGCAGCAGCTACGGCCGCTCAGTTAACGGGCATATTTTGTTATCCGGCATCCCTCATTCCCAAGGGATGCTGGATAACAGAGGTTTTACTGTATGTGCCTCTCCTCTATAGCAGGATGATCTATTTGGTCATTTACTATAAATATTTACTTTTGTTGATATGGGGTATGTTGCTGGCGACACTTTCTCTCTCTTCCTTGTGTACCAAACACTTTTTTTTTTCAACCATGGCAATTATATGCACAGCAGCCTCCTATTTTTTAACAGTCCTGTTTTATGTAATATCTTTAAAAGACAGTTTAACTGCCTTTCTGATATATCTTCTACTGTGTATATCTAGAATGTTTTTCACTGTGTTGTGATGCACAGATTAAAAACTTCAAGGATAAGTCTCAGATTGAATTTTAATGTAGTGTTTGGTGTTTTTCGTATTGTTGAAAAAAACACTCATTCATTCAGTGATATAGGGCGGATAAACACAGTGCATATAATATATGTTTAACATAATATATGTTTATGTGCATCTCCTTCCCTTTTTGTTTTGTGAAATGACTTATTGTTTTCGCTATCGTAGGTGACATTCTGATGTCACTGATATTTACCCTGACTTCCTGGGACCCAAAGCATGAGATGGTAACATTAAAATAAGAAAATCTGTTGACCTTAACCTGCTGCCTGTACTTTAGCTTATCCCTTGATTTTTGAACCAGGTTTTCTTCCGTGTTTATGTAGTTGCGGCGCCATGAGATACATAAGTCAAAGAATAAAGTGTTGGCGCACTTGGAGCTACAAGAGAAAGCACTGAAAAGAAAAATAAAGAAGCAGAAGCAGGGGGCTCCTGATTCCCTGGAGAAAAGGAAGTTGGCCCTCATGCGAGAGGTGAGGACTTTCAGCGTAAGCTACTTGTTTCCCAATAGCAAGAAGCAAATGTTTTGCCACTTTCTCCTCTCCTCTACAAAGGATGTGTAATAGCACTGGACAGTTGTTCTCAAGTGCAGGCCAAAATTCCCTGCCCTGGCTGAATCCTCCCCCAAGTGGTGCTCTGTTACAGCTGTCTATGCCCTGTCCTGCATGTGGCACTGTACAGGTTTTAGCAGAGCTAAACTCTAAGCTGTGCATGGGACACGCATCTTATGCATGCTTCTCATCCTACCCCAGCTGCTAAATGCCCCCTTATTTAGTGTAAATGCAGTAATTCTTATGTTTGGGGAGCCTCTGCACCTGCTGTGGCTGGATTTATGTAAAGGAAAGAGGGAGGAGGAGCAGAAAGGGAGAAATTTAGTGAGAGACAACGGGGAAAATAAATTGATAAAACAAGGCCTGAGGAGTTGTAGCTCCTGGCAGATGCTCTAGTAACAGTATTCTTCAGCTGGGAATTGAATTTAGTTTCTTGCTGTTTGGCCCTGTTTTAAGCACTCTGCTAACATTATTGTGCTTAGTTTTGAGTTTTCAGTGCAGCCCATTAGGACACAGTAACCTCTCACTAGCTGAAATTATTCCCCTGCTTCCATGCTGAAAATTATTCCCTCTGCAAACTCAAATTATACTATTCATTCACTTTCAGTCACCATCAGCAGTTGTACAAATGACAGCTGAACTAGGCAAAGAAAGCTGTTTTTGCTGGAGAAGGGTGTTGACGAGCAGTATACACCTGGTAACTGAGATAACTACAGCTTAGTAAGCCTGTCAATAGCCTGCAGGGTAATTACGGGAGACCTTCTCTCGCTCCTTTTACAAATTCAGCTGGGAGATTAAACGTTGAGAAACCTGTATCTGATATTATCAAGATCATTGCAGCCTAGCATAGAAGAAAATTACTATATTTAAGATGCAGTGACATAACCTGAACTCTATTTTAAACCCTGTTCTCTACAAATAAAGCAAAATGTGTTAAGGAAAATATACATATACTTGATGTAAAATTTGAATAAGCACCTGAAGCTCTCAGATCGTCTCTCCACATTTTTATAGCAGACTGCCAAATGCACATTAATGAAATGTTCCAGAACAATTAACTTCTAGGCAAGTATACAAAATACCATAAAGTACCAAGTAGTTGGATAGGAGTGCGCTGGGACCCATTCCTATTGCAAGAAAAAATGCATTTGGAGGGAAGCAGTCCAGAAGGTTTCGAAGGTGGCTAGAAACATAAACCATTCTCTGACTTACACAATTCAGAAATGGAAGCCTAATGATGAAGAAAGTGTTTTCTGTGAGGTTTTTTTATTGTTCTTCTACCCCTTGGTGACTTGTCCATTTTCCATCTTAATCTGCCCTCTAGGCCACCTCCTTGAGAGAAACTTTTTAATAAGTCTAGTCTTATATATACATTTGTATAGAAGAATAGCCACATGTTTATATGATTGTCATCACCAAGCCAATGCTAAAAGCTCTAAGGAAGGAAGAATACAATCTACTGCCATTGCTTGCAATATCAGTACCCCCTGCTCTGCTGGAAGAAAGGGGTGTGGGAGACCTGTAGCTTAAGTCCTGTTCAGTGGTGAATGGCAGAAGATTTATACTGTTGTGGATGATGGGGTGAACATTCCCTCTGTCTTCCAGCGCAGAGGTTGGTTAGTCTGTTCAGTTGTCTTGCTGGCTTTTCAGCCCAGTGCTGTGAGATTTTGCCTATCCAGAGCCCCTTGTCACTTCTCCATTTGGAGGGGGCAGAAATGAGATAAGGAAGAGATCACCAGTGTGGTTCCTTTCTGACTGTAGATCAAAGAAAGATGTATGATTTTTTTTTTTTTATTATTAAAAATGGCAAAACAGTTGAGCTCTCGGTACAAGACACATTTTGATTTTACAGTGGTATCTAGTTTCAAACTCTCAGTGAGAAGGGATTGTAAATGCTTACATAACACGATACATCTCTAATAACATAAAACAATTAGATTATAAATATTAGTGTATTGATCCAGGGACATGTGTTTAGTGGGTACCTGCCGGTAGCAATGTTAGGACTAGTCTGATTTAATCATCTTTCCAAATGATCTGGAGCAGACAGAAAGTGGCATGTTAATAATGAGACTCATCTGAAGTTGCCAGTGAAGCCAGGGAAGAAATATGAAGAGGTCTGGAGAGACTAGAAGGATAGTATTATGTTCTTTTCTGCTTCATTTTAGCAAATGCTAACAAATCTGTGGGGAGCTGAAATACAAGGGCTGAGTGGGAGAGGGAATCTTGGGAAGCAGTGAAGCTGAAAAGAACTAGAGGGGAGGGTGAAAGCAAATAAACCAGGAGTTAAAATTGTGGTTGTGGCTCCAAAAATGCTTAATTCAGGTTTGGCTCTGTATACAAAAGCTGCATGTCTTACAACAGAAAGATAATATTATACACACATTTAGTATGTGGACACTACCACAATAAAAGGACAATACAGTTGTAGTGCAGAGCAGTTCAGTTGAACAGTGGTCTGGAGGACCTGACTTGCAGAGTGAAATCAAAAAAGCTATCTAGTTAACACGTAGCCAAACTAAATACAAGGAAAGCTACAAAAGTGTGTAGATTTAGTGTGATATATAACTAGGGCTCAAAATGAGCAGTGTAATACAAGCTGGATAGATGGGGCAACACTTACTGATTGATTACTTACTGATTTGTATTTTTAAAACTAGACTGATGGCATTTTTAGCAAATATCCAGTATGGAATGGTTTGCTATCAGGGACCTTCAGTGAAGATGTCAGTTGCCTTTATAATAAGTCTTTATCCCTCTCACCCTATTAGATCATTCAGTCCAACTTGTATAATTAACAAGGAGTGTGAAGTGGAATTTTTTTGATTTGTTGTGTGAGGAAAGGAACAGTTCCTTTCTTTTTTCATTGGGCACATCTGAAGTGACACTTGCGGTTTGAAATAAAAGCAGCTTCCCTAGATACACTGTCTATTTTATTGTGGTGAATTGGAACATAGAAGTATCTGAATTTCTCTTGAGCATTTAGAAATAAATGTCTTCTTTCCCAGTTTTTAAAAGTAATCACTTGCATTTTCATTCATGGTTGGTTTCTGCCCAGGAAAAGACATTCGGCAGGAAGCCAGCTCAGATAAATGTTGTGCTTACTTCTGAGCAGAAGGCCCATGAGTACTGTCTCTTGCAGAAGTTAACTGCAGCCCTGTGGAAGATTTTTTTTTTCCTCCATGCTGAGATGATTAGGCCTCATGTAGAATATTGAATGCAGTTCTGGGTTTCTCATTTTAAGAGGTATTTGAAAAGTTGCTGGATCCTGAAGGAATTGTAAAGCAAGCCATATGAGAAGAGGTTGGGAGAACAGGGCATATTTTAGTTTGAAAGAAAGGAGATTGATTCAGGGAGACGGGATAGCAGTTTTTACATATTTGAAAGCCTGCTATAAAAGCAGTTTTCCCCTGCTGTAGAGGGCATGATATGAAGAAGTGGGTTTAAAATACAGCAAAGCAGACTTAGATTAGATGCGAAGAAAGTTTTGAAACATCCTTCATTGGAGGAGTTCAGAAGGAGACTAGATAAGCATTTGGCAGGGATGATTTAGTAATAATATTCCCAATTTGATGCAGAGTTTGAAGCAGATGAGCTTGGGTCCGTTCCAACTCAGTGATTCTGTGTTTCTGTACCTCCCCATTTAGGGTGACCTTTCATGGTTCCTTTAGGCTGTCTGTTGTGACAGGCCATAGTCACACAACAAGTGCATTCTTGGGAAGCTCTGGCCCTTGTATGGGTAGATTCCAAATATTTGAACAAGAGTCTGCATCTGCTGGGGAAATCTAAAGTGATGTGCTTATAGCAACTTGTGTTGCTAGGTACAGGCTGCCTCATTCTGTACCAGCTGGAGCCTTTTCAGGGTTTTGTGGCTTTATTTATAGATTTGAGTTTCAGTAATTAAAGTTAAATGGCATGAATACCTGGCTCACTGTAGCCAGGTCTGAATCTCATCAGCTGGACATCATCTTGGACTTCAGTCTAGTGGACTCCAAGATGAACATGAGTCGGCAGTGTGACGAAGCCATCAGAAAAGCTAATGGCACTTTATCGTGCATCAGCAGATGCATGACGAACAGATCCAAAGAGGTGATACTTCCCCTCTATCGGGCGCTGGTCAGACCGCAGTTGGAGTACTGTGTGCAATTCTGGGCACTGCACTTCAAGAGGGATGCGGATAACCTGGAGAGGGTCCAGAGAAGGGCCACTCATATGGTTAAGGGCTTGCAGGCCAAGCCCTACGAGGAGAAACTAGAGAACTTGGACCGCTTCAGCCTCCGCAAGAGAAGGTTGAGAGGCGACTTTGTGGCTGCCTATAAGTTCATCACGGGGGCACAGAAGGGAATTGGTGAGGTTTTATTCACCAAGGCGCCCCCGGGGGTTGCAAGAAATAATGGCCACAAGCTAGCAGAGAGCAGATTTAGACTGGACATTAGGAAGAACTTCTTCACAGTTAGAGTGGCCAAAGTCTGGAACGGGCTCCCATGGGAGGTGGTGCTCTCCCCTACCCTGGGGGTCTTCAAGAGGAGATTGGATATGCATCTAGCTGGGGTCATCTAGACCCAGCACTCTTTCCTGCCTATGCAGGGGGTCGGACTCGATGATCTATTGAGGTCCCTTCCGACCCTAACGTCTATGAATCTATGAATCTTTTGTCATTTGGCAGATGTGGATGCTGCACCCGCATTTTGGCCATCCAGTAGTTCTGAAGGCTTTAAAAGATCTAGATTGTTAGACTGGGTGTTACTCCTACCACAGTGATATTTAGTTTCAGAGGAGAAAAATGTGGAACAGAGGTAACAACCAACTTTCCTCTCAGTGTTGCCAGGTCTCAGCTTCACCTAGCCAATTCATCCAAGGACTGATTGATTCTTCCAAGGCAGTGAGAGAGCTGAGATATAGCTCTGCCTTGCTGTGAGGCAAAGGAACTGTAAAGCCAAACGTTTTCTGGGTACTGCTAACATGTTGATTTTTCTGTGACCAACTTTCCTAACAGTTCTATCCTGATATTAAACAAATTGAGGGAAAAGATTAAACCTTGTGGGGCTCTAAAAGTGGAAACTCTAGCTGTGTAGTGCCAGCTCTCCATATAACTTATTGGGTTTAGTCTTCAAAATGACCCAAGTTGTTTCAAGGTATATTTGTTTATCTTGTATTTAGCCTTTTTCAGGACAGAACTGTCTGGTGCTGGACAGTATCAGAAGCTGCAGGAAGGTACAGATGAAGATGACCATGATTTGCTTATCAGCAAATTAGCAGTGCTAATTCATTGGAGCCATAAGGACTCTCTCCAGCTACCTGAGCTGTTCTAGGGTTTCCAGTAGCCTTCATCATGTAGTACCTAGTGTACTTGGAAAATACTTTTCTCCATAAGGCATCCCCGTTGGACTTCATGGATTTTCCTTTCCCCCCTGTTTCTGGAAGAAGAGCAAAGGACTATGGATTGTTTGATGGGGTTTTCTTCCCTTTTGGTTACTACAGAATTTATTTTCAGACAGGGGATGATCTGAAAATTGATCTTACTTTCCTAGTCACATCTCCTCTAGAGACTGAATCCTTTTGAGAAAAAGGCTTACCCTGGTTTTCATAGGACTTGTGTTGGATTTTTGAGAGGGGTCTCAGATGAGTACATCAGTCTGCATAAACCAGGAAAGGAGACAGAGGGTTACTGAGAGTTTGATTTTAACCTGTTGAGGTCCCTTAAGACCATCTTCAAGGTGTTGAACTAGGGAATTGTGATGTACTAGAACAGGCATTTCCCAACTGCGGTATACAAAAAAAATCTCTGTGGGGTATGTGGGAGAAATTGTGTAATGGCAGATTTAATTTTCATTATAATAATAATTGGCATTTAGGGGATTAAAATACAAGATGTATGCTGGTAGGGGCCTTTGGCAGCTGGTGAACTGGGAAGGGGTTTCACAATAAGAAAAAGTTTGGGAACCTCTATACTAGAAGAATGGTACAGGGAATTAAATGTTCATAGTAGCCTTTTCATTTAAGGATGGGGTTGGTGAATTTTTTGCAGAAATTGGAACTTCCACATCCAGCTTCCCATAATCTAAAGTAGGGGTCAGCAACATTTTTGGGCAGTGTGCCAAAAAGATCCACAACCTTGACTTGTAATATGTTGGCGTGCTGGGGTGGAAGGCAGGGGAGAAACAAGGGGCACAATCCTTGTGGCAGCTCAGCCCCAGCCACTTCCCCAAGGTGTGCATGCCAAGCAAAATGCCTTCATATGCCATGCTCTGGCACACATGCTAGGGACTGCCTACCCCTGGTCTAAAGTATTAGAGCAGGGCTGACCAACTTTAGAATATCTGGAGATCGCACACTGCACTGATTGCAGACCCTGGGTTGCAAAACAAGCAGGCCACATGCTTTGGGGGCCACAAGCTGCACAGGCTCCCCAGGACACCCACCGTTTGCAGCTCTCCTCATCACTATATGAGCTTGCCTCTTGCTGCTGCTATCACATGAGCAGGTCCCCTGCCACTGTGCTGTCTTGTCCCAGAGCAGAAGCAGCAGCAGCAGCAGAAGCAGTGGAGGGAGTGGTGTCTGGGTAGGAGCTCTTGGCCCACACACTAACCCCTTTGAAGCAGTCTACAGGCTGCCAATTGAACAACCCTGCTTTAGAGGAATCTATGATGCTGACAGGTACCTGGAGGTCCTGGACACTGCTTTGTGCGCGTCTCATTTATCTTGCTATAAGAAAAGAGAAGCTAAACACTGGGTAGTTTGCATACAGGCTCACTGCTGTTGAACAGCAATTCTTTGGCACTGGTTGGAAGTTTTCATATATTAGGCCACTTTTGTTGTCTTCTCATGCTGTTTATGGAGCTTATCTCTGGCATATGGTCATCATTTGACATAAGCATTTCTGAAGTTGTAAGAAGAAAAAAGGATCAAGTCTGTTGTTGTGGAGGCAATAATAATAATTGGTTCCTTACCATAAATCCTGGTATTCTGACAGGCAAGTGTAATAATTCTAGTTGCTTTAAAAATTGGGTCTTTTGTTTTTTCTAGATTCTGATTGATGCCTCTCAATCTGGGGTGCAAGTTTGTACTGTACATGTAATTAAACCCGTGTTTGTTGGCTGCTTATTCTAAAACTAACTGCTGAGAACAATGATACTCAAATCCCTCTTCGTAAGTCATCTCCTCAACTTCATTTTGGGGAAATTGTCTGTGCCTAATGCTATGCAATATCTCTTGTTCTGTGCTTCCCTTCAGATTCTATCTGACCAATACCAGCTGCAAGATGTGTTGGAACAATCCGATCAAGCCGTGGCTGTGGTGAAGGACCTGTTTGGGGATGCTCCTCGCAGACACGCAGGTAAATCATCTCCTCTGTATAAGAGCTTGTTTAAGATTACAACACTTGCTTTATAAATATAATCTTGCTTCATGCACTTGTACAAGGTATATTTTGGTTTATTGGCTAGTTTTGACTGACCTGGTAGGTAAGATGACACAACTGATTCTGTTAATGTAGGGCAAAGGAGAACCAACTCAAACAAAATACTATAGATCAGGATAAGACCTACTGTGGGGGGGCAAATTATCCTATATCAGCCTCTTCGGGTTTTTACACATTCCCCTGAAACATGCAGTACTGGTCACTCTTAGAGTTAAGATGCTTGATTTGAAGGACCTGAGGTCTGATCTGGTAGGACAGATCATGTTTTATTGTCCCTGAATGGCCTTGGTACATAGTCTTGGCTGCTGTTTATGGTTTGTCACTTATGTATGAATGAGGTTGCTCCCTTGCTTATGATCTACATTTAGGGTATTGCCTTGTCAAGGAGAATGGTGGGCTCCTTTGATTCAGGTTCTAGATCTTTATTCCTCTCTCTCTATAGACTGCCATTTCCTTTTTTCACTTTTAATGACCATTTGTCTTGGCATGAACACAAGTTTCCCTGACTACAGCATTATTACACTCCCAGGACTATGTAATGTAACCTTGTGGCTAGTTGCTAGGAGTTACACAGAAGGGACATTCATCTTCCTGTTCACTTAAATGAACTGCTGTAGAAAGATAAGGTGCTTACTTGCTGGTGGGGAAGTCATGAGATACTGGTAGGAGTGGGACCCAGAGGTCCTGTAAAGTTCTTTGCTTGCCACAAGCCCATTTGTGTTCTGTGATTTCCTGACTGTCTCTGTCTGCTTTAGGTTTCCCTAATGTAACCATGGCTCCTGACTGTGACCTGGAATACTCCCAAAGTCCAATTATACAAAAACGTGATCCTCCCACCCAGCTTTCCATCCTCAGTGAGTCTGTCATGGATTCCCAGGTAAAGTACTCTGTGTGTGGGCTGCGTTTCAGGACAGCAAATGTAATGGCACTGTGTTTGGAGAGTTCTGTGGCTGGTTTCATTCACACAGAAGTTAGGAAATTCAGAGTTAGGGTTCTAAAGCAAGCTTAAGTAAGCCGTCTTGTTATGCTATGTGTAGTTTTAAAACTCATGCTGAACACTGCATCTACTTAGAAACTTGCACAGAAGAGTTTATTTTGGCATGAATTCCCAACCTGTGTACACAAAGTATCGACTTTTATGTTAAATTACCCTTATTTCATTTATGTTACCCTATTTTTTTAAATACAGAAGATAACATAGAACTGATTAACTTTAGATTGAAAGAGGCTTCTGACCATGTTAGTGGCATGCCTTCTCTTGAAAATACATGATATAAGCCATTAAAGACACCATCAGCTTAGGCAGATAGCCTTTTAAATCATGCAAGTAGCCCTAGCATTTGCCTGCACTGAAATGCAGGCACAAATCCTTTTGATTTCAATATTGAAGGCCCTACCTAAGCCACCTTAAGCATGCCTGCTACTTAGTGTGTGAACAGCCTGCTCTTGGCTTTTTTAGTTTCAGCCACTGTTCAGCCATTCTGTTAAGGCTTGCCCAGAGCTCCTCATCTTTCCTAGTTACCTTGACATTGACAGGTCTAGTCAGTTTCAAGGCTACTAATAGCTCACCAATGACAGTGTTTGAGATCCCGTAGAAGTATTAACTGCCTACCCTGCATATCTGATTGCCAAACAAGCCTGCTGTAGGCAACATAGACTGTATATTGGAGAGCCTATATTTTAGTAGATGGATATTTCTGTCTGTGTGCTTCTCTGCCTGTGTGGCTATGCACCTGACTTCCCTCAAAGGGGGCATCTACATGTGTGCTTTACTGCAGAGTTGACTAATTGTTATTATTGACTCCAGGATGAACATGAGCCACCAATGCGAGGAAGCGGTCAGTAAGGCTAACCGCAGCTTGTCGTGCATCTACAGATGCATCACAAGCAGGTCCAGGGAGGTGATCCTTCCCCTCTGTGCAGCATTGGTCAGGCCACAGTTGGAGTACTGAGTCCAGTTCTGGGCACCACACTTCAAAAGGGATGTGACTAGCATTGAGAGGGTCCAGAGGAGGGCCACTTGCATAGTCCAAGGGCAGCAGGGCAGGCCCTATGAAGAGAGGCTAAAAGGCCTGAACCTATTCAGCCTCCACAAGAGAAGGCTGAGAGGGGATCTGGTGGCCGTTTACAGACTCACCAGGGGTGACCAGCGAGAATTGGGGGAGACTCGGTTCCCCCGGGCACCGCCCAGGGTTACTAGGAATAACGGCCACAAATCGTTAGAGAGAAGGTTCAGGCTGGACATTAGGAGACATTACTTTACAGTTAGGGCTGCCAGGCTCTGGAATGGGCTCCCAAGTAAGGTGGTACTCTCTCCTACCTTGGGGGTCTTCAAGAGGAGGCTGGACTGATATGACCCCAGCACCCATTCTTGCCCAGGACAGGGGGTCAGACCTGATGATCTGTTTAGGTCCCTTCCTAAGCACTATGATACTAATTAGCTCTGCAGTAAAGCATCACTGTCTACACATGCGGTGCTATTAGGCCACAGTAAACTAATTAACTCTGCCATAGGATAGTACTTCCCGACACAAGTACCATCCTATCACAGAGTTAGTGCACCAAAACATGCCCCAGCCAGACCTCTCTGCAGCATGTTGAGCCCGGGCAGAGCAGCTCTGGGCAGGCAGGCTGACCCCCTGGGTCCCCTGCCAGTGGGGGCTGTGTCACCCCAGCAAAATGTGCTGCAGTCCTGCATGCACATGTAAATGCTGCACGTTGGAGAAAAAAACTCAAGCACAAACTGGGCTGGAGTTTGCAGACGCATTAATAACTTTAATAGCACGTGTAGATGCACCTCGAATGTACTACCTATCAGTCAAGAACTATTTCTAACTGCAGTTTTAGCAGGGCTGACATATGTTGCATCTTGAACATTTAAAGTGAGCATTTTAAGTATTCTAAAAATTGTGAATAGATTTCAGTGTCCCTTTTTCCCCCGATAAATGGACATCTTCATCCATACCAAAAATAGTCACTCTGGGTTGAGAACAAGCAGAAGTTTCTCTCTGAGACCTGCTGGTCAGAAAAGTTGAATGGTAGCCAGTAGTGTTTTGGAATAAAAGTATTTCTGCTACCTAAATGTGTAGTCTTACTCTCATGAGTCTATAGTAATCTATGTCATTGTATCTTGTGCATATACATAATTCAGTATTTGCTTAAATCCAAAACTAGGTTCCCCCCACCATTCAACACGGGATGGGGAAAACTCCTCATCTTATATTTAAATATAAGTCAAGGGGAAGGGGGTATGTGGTGGCCCAGGATCAGGGCCAAACCTGCCACCACTGTAACCGCCGGGCAGGAGCCAGAGGCAGCATGTGCTCTGTGCCCCAGAACAGAGTGAGGCTCAGCCAGAGCCAACTGTGACAGGGAGGTGCCATGAGGGGGACATTTGGGGGGGGCAGGTACCAGGGGATGTAGGCATGGGAAGGTATGAAAAGGGCCCAAATGGTGGTCAGGGGTGCAGGCAGCAGGTGGGGTAAACAGGGGGAGCAAGTGGCAGGGAGGAAGGTGCAGGGGGAGCACAGGACCTATAGTAGGAGGCAGGCATTGCAGGGGGACAGGCAGCAGGAGGGCAAGTGGTAGTTTGGATGGGTAGTGCTCAAGCCATCTGACTCCCCCACTGCCTGCCCGCCTGCTGCTGCTTGTCTTGCTGCAAAGTTGGGATGGACAAATTTAAGATTAGATGCGTGGAAAATTATAACAAGTGTATAAATTTTCCATGTCTAGAATATAATTATTGGGGGAGTGTCTTATATATTTTGGATTTCGGTAAATATGTTATTATAAGGTGTATGCCAGCACTGCTGTACCAGTCAGTTTTCTTTACAGTTGAGGTGTTAGTTTCCTACATTTTTCTTCATCATCTTTGACTTGCATGCATGATAGATAGTATCTAAACTGAGCTGCTCTAAGGGAAGAAAGTTGCCCAGCTGTTAATGATATCCTAATTCCCGAAAATCCCAGCCAGAAGTCCTGGTGTAATGTAGACCCACAAGGGTAAAGCTGTAATATTGAACTAAGCTGCCTCAGACTTGTCCACAGTGAAATATCACTGTGGTAACTCTTATCTCTTTTGCACATGATGTAAATGCAATTCATTTGTGTCTTTAGGTACAAGTTCATTAAAATCATGAGATTTAGGTTGCAGAGTTGGGCATTTGACAGTTTAGACATACTCAGGTTAAGGTTGTCAGTTGTGTCCGTCTTGTACAATGTGTGTGTAAGTTAGGCAGTAGTTCTTGATTGCATGACCGCATGTTGTATTTTTATGGAACACCTGCTTCATTAAATGATAGCATGGACAGCACTCAGAGGATGAGGCAGCTGCTTAATATTTCTTTTTATCCTTTTTCTTCAATGCGTGGCCATTGTCATCATCACGGCACTCCATGCAAAGCAAGCTCTGATTTACTCATTTCCTTTGCTTGTTTTTGAGGGTGCATTGTGATAGTAATGGAGTGCTTCACAAATATTAACAATCTTATCTCCGTGTTCACCCTCTTAGATGCATACTTTTATACAGTTTTAGAGGTGGGAAGATGAAGCAAAAGTGTGTTCACTTGCCCTGCTTCTTTCCCAAAAGAGGGATTGAAATTGCTCTGAGATGGTCTGTGTTGGATTGATTTTTTTTTTATTTTTTTTTTTATTATTATTATTTTTTTTTTCCTGCTGCAACAGGCTCTTAATGAAATAGAAGGGGAAAGCTCCTCCTGTCATTCAGGGGATAGTGCAGATGAACAGAATGTGTTTCGGAACTACAAGTCCAGCATTGACATGGACAGGTCAGTGTATGTGTCCAGCAATGTCTTAGAATTTCTATCCTCCTAGTGTTCACATAACACAGGTAGGTAACCAGATACCTTTGTGTCCCTTGTACAGAGGTTCTGTCATAAATATCTATAAAACTACTACAGTATCTTCCTTCAAATGTCTCTTTAAAAACTCACCATTACTTCATTTCCTTCAAAACACTTAGGGGCAGAATCTTTGCCCTGAAGAACTTGCCACTAACATAGAACCTCAAATTCTATAAGAAGAGCTAAATTTATTTCTTATGTTCACTTATACCAACATAATCCCACTGCAAATAGCACATTCTCTATGTACATCATTTATCACATAACCTGTTAATGGTTTTTTTAACTTTAATTAGTGACTTGGATTTAGACTTGTGTGTCAATTGGAGGCTGAAGTTGAAGAGCGTGTATGTCTTAGAAATGCTACAAACAGAATAGATGTTATACTTGTTTCATTTGGTAAGATAAGTTTTCAAGAAGTTTGGGTAGTATTTACCTATGATCTCGCACACATTTTAATGGTCTGAATTTGCTGTAGCTGTATCGTACATATGATGATTGTTGTGTGTCAAGTTCCAGTGTGGTTTATATAGACTTGTTTCCTAGGTTGCACTCTCCCATTAGTGGTGCATTCACTTTAGCAATTTAGTATTTACGAATCTCTGTTGAGATTGGACTGGTGTGCAGTCTTCGCAATACATGTCTGAATTGACTATGAGTAAAGCAGTGCTGCATTAGAAGAATCCTATGTTTGCGGGTAGTTAAGTGTTCATGTTTGGACATTGTGGGGGGTTTTTATTAGTAAAGTACAGTGAGAGAGGTATTTTCTAGGATTTGGGTTTTGCATTAAAAGGAAACTGGTTTGAGCAATCTAATTTTGACACTTGTTGGATAGATGGTAAAGATTGGTCCATGTTGCTGTCACTTCAGAGTTCAGTACCCCCATAGTTTTCTTTGTTCTTATTTTGTATGTAGGCTTCTCTGTTTACTGAAAAAAGAAAATTCTGTGGGAGCCTCCCAGCTGTGGGCTGATGAGAAAGTGAAAACAGCTGCCCCATCACAGGAAACAAATGTACCTGTCACTCCTACGACTGCTTCATTGCCTTTGGAAGACACAGGTTGGATCTGGCAGGATGTTATCTTTCAAAGGGCAGTAGGCAAAGGATCCTATTCAGAATAAAGTGCAGGAGGAGCAAATGGCACGAGTATAGTTTTGGAGATCTAACTGGGTTGGGTTAGCAAAGTAAGGCACTGGCACTTTAAATGTGTTTATATTAAAATATTTTGATGCATTAATGACACTCATAAAGTACTTCATGTAATTTGTTGGGTTTTTTTTTTATCAGCCCTTAATGCTACTAATGTGGTCAGGAGAATCCATTCAAGGCTTCAGAATGAGGATGAGCATGATGAGCACACTCCAGACTCCCCTTACATTGCAAGACAAGTGCTGAACCCTAACCCAAGGAAGCACAAGCAAGTTTCAGGAAAAGGTTTAGTTTTTACTTTCTGAAGTAATTTATGGTTGAGGCAATGTATTTGCTTTTCCCTTCCCCCCAGTATCCCTTGAAGCTCTGATTGAGATCCTGCTTTTCATTTAATGTTACTGAAGATCAAAGAGCATTTGTTGGATTTAGTTATGCTTAATATTTACCTTGAAAGTAAAGGGAAAAAAATCTCATCCCATCTGTTTTCTTTGGTTACAGCACACACTTCACTTGAAGTGTTTCAGCTCTGTTATTTCATAAGGTTATGAGATTTCAGTAGCGTCTCTCATTGCACAAAACATATTGTTGCTTTATCTTACAGCAAGACTCGAATGTCTGTTTCATACCTTCAAGTTAGTAGTTAGCCTCCGCAATAATAATGGGGAGGACAGTTGAATTTTTAACTACTGTTATTTTTAAAAAATATTTAAAAAATGAAACTTTGGCCCTGACAATGTTGTGTGAGTTGAGGTGGGGGAATGGTGTTTTGTTCTTGTTGTTTGTTTAGGGCTTTTTCATTTGGTTTTTGCTTGGTCCATATCTCATCCCTTAATTCCTCCTAATTCCTCTCTCTCAGAGCATACATCGATAGGGCACTTCTGAAATCCGTGCATAAAGAATGTTCCCCTTACTCCTCTTGACTGAGGTAATTTCTATAAAACGACTGGCTAGGAAACCAAGCCTGTATGCATTAATAGCTCGGTGCACATGACCTGAGATCCATGTGATGCTGTTATCTGGTGCAATGCCACAAGGAACTGACTCTGTATGTAATTGCTTCTGCAAACACTTCCTCTGACGTGCTGATTTGGTCACCCTGGAATACCACATCACACACTGTGGGGAAATAGCCAGATTCAGGTACAAACATGTTTGAACTTTCAGGACCATGATGTGCCTGCCATATGTTTTGAGACTCTGGGAGATTGCAATCTTCTTCAGCAGCAATTCCAGTCCCGTGGATTTGTTCAGGTTTGTCAGACCAGAACTCTCTCCTGACAGACCATAGGTAGCTTTACAGACAGAAAAGATGCCTCCAGAGTAGAGGTGGTAGTTTGGTTCTAGACAGAATTTAAGATGCAGGTCCCATCCTGCCCCTTTGTCTTACCTCTTACTCTCTGGTTTGCAGAGAAATCTCAGACTGATGTGCCTGAAAAGATCTGTTCAGCTTGACTCCTGCTAAAGTTTGTAGCAAGGGGCCATGAGAGTTTGGTGGATGTAAACAGGGATCCTTCAAGCTGCTCACTTCACTGTTGATATATTTCTATATGGCTGTTTCTGTGCTCTCCCTAGTGCCTTTTTGTTTGCTGCTATGATGATCTTTGATCTGTTTAGGCACAATTTAGTGGCTCATTTCCTAGTGGTATATGGGGAATAACATTACATGGGCTCAACAATTATAGGATACTTGTTGTAAACCTGCCATGTGACAGAAGAATTGGACCTGTAAACCATGTTAATTCTGCAAGGGCTCCCCAAAATGCATGTAGAGGTCTCCTTTCGTATACCTAGGATGTGAAGGTAATTAGTTGCATGTTTTCCTTGTTCTTGGTACTAGCAAATTTCAAGTTTTTGCAAGAAAGATAACAATGTAAACAAATGTTATAGTTGGGTGCTGTTTAGAAGATATTTTAGCTGTCCACTTATCATGTATTTAAACTTGGCATGGGCCCAGACTTCTTGGAATTTGCTACTGTGGCACTCGGAGTTTAAAAGCTTTGGAGAAAAGTACCTGAATGACTCTGTATGACCTGGATATAACTGGGGCTTGATTTACCTTTGATTGTCCATTATAGTTCAGGGACTGAGATCAATTCTTCCTTGATTCATTGAAGCAAAGATTAATTGTGAACTGTAAAGAAGCAACTGGAATGTAAAAGTATTCTGTCTGTGTTTCTCTCAGTGAAAAGAAAACAAACTACACAGATACCATCTAAGCAAAAGAGGAATGATTGTCTTGCTAATTCAATCACCCTCAACCTCCCAAGCAGTAATACATCCAGCTTGGATATCCTGAATCACATGATACGTGAAGTAGAGAATGAGTTGGAGGAATACGAGAGAGGTACTGGCCGCGAGGTCCAGAAAACACAGAATTGTCAGGGTCTCACTGGGTTTACTTTGTCACTGGTGAATGCTGTCTGTCGTCTGATGCGCTACCTCAAAGAGGTGAGAACACTTTGAACTGCTTTGGGAGGTTAGATGAATTAAACCAAACATTTTGGTTTAATTTACAACCTTAACTTTTATAATCTCTTGACTCTTGAGTGCATCATTTTGTAAACTCAGTATCTTTAGGAGTTTTGGCTTGTTTGCATTTTTAAAAAATTGGTAATATTGTTCATTCTGGATAGACTGCTGTTGGCTCTTGGGAGAAACGAAGGCACTTTTTAAGTATAAATTTAGATATGTATTCAAAATAACTGGTGGTATTTTTAAATATAGTTTTATAGATTCTCAGAATATTAGGATTCAGATCCTGTCATTCACTGTCAGACAGCCCTTCAGGGAACAGCCCAGACACAATCTAGTGGTCCTTTTTGTATACAAGGCCTCTTTAGGCTCTCACTCTGTCCATACAAGATTGCAGTGAGGACCTCTCTAGGTTTGTCTTGGGCTACATCCTATTACACACTTGTTGAGCAAGAGCAGTAAAATTCAGTAGGAGAATTGAGGAGATGTGTCAATGGCGTGGAGCTGAACATGCTGAAGATGGCACTGATACCTCTCCCCTCCCTTTGACCAGCATGAACCACAAGATGGCAGTGGCCTACATCAGTAGAGAGGGAAAGATTCTAGTTCTTCACTGGAAGTGGAAGGGGCCCTACTTAATTCTTCATGTGGTATTGTGTGGTCTGTGGTATAATCTGTTATGTCAGAGATCATTTGTAAGTAGATCCTACCCTTTAAGGGGAGGGAGATAGGGACAACAGAATTCTTTGCCTTGGAATGAGGTGCTTGTTTGTGTCCAGTAAAGAAACCAGAAAATAGTAACAACGTAAATCCTGTTCTAAGCCCTCTGAGAAAAAATAAAACAAAACTGTAGGACCTGCCTTTGGTCCAGTATCACTCCACAAGGCCAGGAAGATCAGGATATTGTCATGTGCCATCACCATTACATTGACTTTTTGCATGCTGTAATACAGTATGGTAGAAGGTAGGCAAAGTGAGAATTTAAACACTATGCCAATAGTTCATTTGTTGTTTTTTTTGAAATCATGGGGAAGGAAGCATCAGGAGGAGGGCTCTCCAAATGTCAACTTCTTGTGCTGTTGTGGGAAGGTGACAATAGCACAAGTGAAGCAATGTCAGGTTGAACATTAGGTGAAAAGTCTTGGGGCAGAAAAGCTGGTTCCATTTAACAATGGCAACAAGAGCAGCGATCAACTTGATAGCAAGATTTGAATCTCCTCTCAGTTCTTACATGAACTTGTATTGAGTGTGCTTTCTTTTCTTCTCCTTTTTCTCCAGAGTGAGATACAGCTGCGTCAAGAAGTGGTGATGAAGCAGAAGCTTGAGGGGGTTCTGAATGAACACAGAGAGTTGATTGATGCTCTGACAGCTGAAATCCTCTTAGTCAGGGAAGAAAGTATTGCGACACAGGTACTAAGAGTTATTGACTCTTTCCTCTCCTGACAGCTTATGGAACTTAGGGAAAAACTACTGTGCCAAAAGTTTTTAAGCATTATTGGTTGTAGCCATGTTGATCTGTGGACGTAGGCAGGCAAGGTACTTTGGGCAGATGTGATATCTTTTATTAGACCGACTAAATAGTTGGGAAAATGTTCTTTGCAAGCTTTTGGGCACAAACGCCCTTCTGCAGGCATAGGGAGATTCTGCTGGTGTTATGTGTTCTCCAAGGTAGAAAAGAAGCTAATTTGCAAGATGCAGGTCTGTGAAAATGCAAATGAGTAGTAGTTTGGGAGACAATAGGTAGAGTTGGGAGGGGAGGAAGGAAATTAGGGAAATGTGTGAAGAAATGTAGCTGGTCAGCTGCAGCCAGGTTATCTAGGGTTATTAGATGTCAGGCAGTTTGTAATATGCCATAAATCCAAAGTCTATAATTAGTCCATGATTTTTTGTATCCAGTAGATTTATGAAGTGGAGTTTGTAGGCTCATCTACGAAAGGTGTTTTGTAAATTTCCTTTGAGTATTAGAACTGAGAGACTGGAGAGTGATTGTCTTTTCAAAAGTGTGCACCCACAGGTAATTGGATATTTTTGTCTTTGATGGATTTGTGGTGTTTGTTCATTCTGATATGCAGTTGTTGTTTGGTTTCTCTTACATGTTTTCCATCAAGGTATTTAGTGCACTGGATGAGATTCCATTCAGTGTGCTTTGGGCCATAGGAAGTTTTCTTCTGGTGATGACGTTAGTGAGGTTCAGTGTTTGTTTAAAGGCTAGAATGGGTGCTGCTGGAAAGATCTCTTTAAGAATTGGGTCTTCTTCTAGTATGGGTTGCAGTTGTTTGAGGATTCTCTGTATAGGTTTCAGGGAAGGATGGTATGTCATGACTAATGGTGTGCAATTCATGGGGATTTTCTTTTTGTGCCGCAGCAATTCTTCACATGGTATCCAGGTGGCTCTTTAAAACATGCAATCTGTTTCTCTGGAGGAGAGTCCTTATTGGGTGAAAGACTTTGAGATTTGAGCGATGACGATTGCAGGTATTCTTCTAAATGCAAATTCGGTGGTATTGGAGACCTTGGCTATATATTACAACTTTTTTGGTGTGTTCAGGGTGATTGCTGGTTCTGTGTAGTATGTTAGTCCATGGATTTCTTGTATATGGTGGTTTGTATCTTACCGTTCTGAATATTGATCATCATGTCTAAAAAGGAAATGGTGGTGCTGGAATATTCAAGAGATAGTCTGGAGGGGTGATAATAATTGAATTTGTGTCAGAGACTGCAGGTTTTCAGTCCAAATGATGATGATGTCATCTATATATTTTAGGTATAGCATGTGTTTGATGGTGTAGTTCTTAAGGAATTCGTCTTCCAGGTGGGCCATAAAAAGGTTGGCATATTGTGGGACCAATTTGGTGCCCATAGCTGTGCCCATGGCTTGGAGGAAGTGTTGGTTGTTGAAACTGAAGTTGTTATAAGTTCAGTAATATCTTGAAGTCTTACTTTGAGTTGTAATCTTGCTCTTGTAGATATATATGTAAGGCAGGCGTAGAAAGTCTGTTGTGTCTTGGATAAAACTGGGTCCTTGGGTGACAAGGGGTCTTAGGATGGATTCAGTGAAACCTGATCTTTCTGCAGGGTTCCATGGTTGAAAATTATAGGTCTGCCTGGGTTCCCTTGTTTGTGGATTTTAGGGAGCATGTAAAAAAGTCGTCGGATTGGGTAGTACAGGGATCAGGGTCTGAAGTTTTTCTTACAGTTCCAGTAGAAATGATGTGATGGTGGTTTTGAGGTGAAAAGGGGAGTTGGCTCTTCCTCTAATTTTTCATAGTAGATGGTGTCAGAGAGTTGTCTGTTGGCTTCTTTTATGTAGTCTTCACGGTTAAGGATAACTATAGATCCTCCTTTATCTGCTGGTTTTATTACTATTTGGTGGTTGGATCTTAGAAATTCTATGGGCCTTCTCTCTGGGAGGGAGAGGTTATAGTGGTGTTTGTTGTTGATTATGTCATTGTTTGTTCTTCGTCTGAAACAGTTAGTGTAGCAGTTGAGGTTTGAGGTTTGAATTTTGTCTACTGCAAGGTGTCCAAAAGTTTTTAAGTAGATTCTTCATTTCGTCAGTGAGACTTGTTAGAATAGCAAACTGCTGCAGATCTTAGGTGAGATGCATAGTAGCACTGAAACAATTTGATGGAATTACATATGCAGTTTTAGGACTGAAATCAGAGGTGGATATTGTAGTGGATTATGTAGAAATGCAACACTTACCAGGAGGAAGAATCTTTTGAGACACTTCCTTTTAAAATGTGACATAAGCAGACTTAGTGTAACTTAGCCTTTCTTTAATGTAAATCTTTGTGCGGAAGAAAGAGGGTGATTGAACAGCAAAACTGTTGAACTGTAGGGCTGGGCAGGAAGGAAAGAACAAACAAATACAGAAATCTTTTCCTTCCACTTCACTGGGACCAGAGTGAAGTGCTGGCACCAAGAGAGGGGGTGGACTTCTCATTGTTATAATTATCTGTTTTTCCTCACCCTAGAATATAGATCTCTGTACTTTTTTTGTTTTGTTTTTTTTCCCATAGAAACAACTACAGCATTATATGGTGGTAACAGATGAACAGCTCACTTCACTCACTTTAGCATATAAAAGCCTCCTTTTGACAGATCCTAAGAGAGAACAGAGTCCAAACAGTCTTGGAATTGCAATCAAAGATCCAACAAACATCCAAGGTGTGTGGGGGTGTGTGTT